CTGCAGGATTTTCTTTATCTGAAGGTTTTCTAGGTTTATTTCATGTCCACCTGATGGCTTCTAGTTTTAGTTATTTTTACCTGCAGGGTTTGTAGCGTTATTTCTATATTATCTAAATGTTTTCTACATGTACGTAATGTTTATCTGCAGGTTTTCTAGGTTTAGTTAACTTTTTTCCTGATGCGTTTCTGGTTTTAGTCCATTACCTGCAGGATTTTTTCGGTTACTCTCTTTCTGTGTGTGACTCAGACCCAGTTCAGCCTGTTAACGTCTGTTTCTGTTTTTCCTCCCAGGACTCTCATCGGCCCCCAGTGGCCCCCCGTGGTGCCGCCCCTGCGACGTGTTTCCAGGTTGACTGGAGCCTCCTGAGAAGCAGGAACCAATCGTCTGGCTCCAGGTGAGACTGACCTGGGTTGTCGACTCCGGTCTGGATGACGTCGTCCAGGGTGAAGCCGCTGGGCGTCTCCTTGTCGCGCAGCTGGGCGTACATGTCCAGCGTCAGAACCTTGGCCATGTGGTTGTTGTGCTGGCTGAGGTCGGGGAACTCCTGCTCCGCAGAGTAGTTCATCTTAAACTTGTTGTGAGTGTTTCCGAAAGGCATGATGACGTCTGGGCTGCCGACCTGGACCACAAATAATCACTTTACATCCATTCATGTGGAACGGTAAATAATCCATCTGTTTGATTAGTTCAGAGGTGATTGATCATCAGCTGAATATTTTATTTGGTCCAAACTTTTGATTCTCTTCTAGGTAAAAACGTCTCATAGGTTAAATATAGTAATTATAAAACTTCGAAATAAATGTCTAAATATTAAATTTGTAATTTCTTGCAAAAGTAGTTTTCACATTAAATTATCCTAAAAACTAAAATCTCAGTTTCCACATTATTTATGTCCAAATTTAATCTACGTAGAATATTTTATTTGGCCCAAACTTTTGATTCTCTGTTAGCTAAAAACTTCAACATTTCATAGGTTAAATATTGATTTAAAGAAAAAAAACATCAATAAACTACATTAAATAATCGATCATTTAATATTGAAACTGCTTCTGAAAGAAATTACAAAATGTAATATTTAGACATTTATTTTGAAGGGTTTTAACAAAAACAAAATTATCCTAAAGATAAAATCTTAAGTTAAATAAAATAAATTTCCACCACAAACTTTTGATTCTGTTATAGATTATTTTTTAAATCAATATTTCCTTGAATTAATTTTGTTTTCGGATTTTTTCTTCTGAAAATAAACCTTTAACACTCTTCAAAATAAAATGTTAAAATTGTAAAAAAGAAAAATAAAAAAAGAAAGAAAAAAAAATTATAAAAAATAAAAAACAATTTGCAAAAGTATATTCTACACTATAAAGGGAGATAAATGAGCCCATAAATTATCATAAAAGATAATAAAATTCCAAGTGAAATAAAATCTTAATTTCCAGATTATTTATGGACCAAAGCAGGTTAAATTTAATATAATATTTTGTTGTTTTTCAAACATAAACTTTTGATTCTAAATAAAAACCTCAACATTTCTTTGGTTCAATACTAGTTTTTCAAAATAAACCTTTTAAATGTCCCTTCAAAATAAGTGTCTAAATATTTAACTTTGCATTTTCTTGCTGAAGTATATTCAACATTATTTATTCATCAAATTTAATTTATGTAGAACATGTAATTTGGTCCAGACATTTTATTTTTTCAGACAGAAACTTTTTGATTCTTAGATAAAAACCTAAACATTTCAAAAATTAAATATTGTTTTGTTTTTGTGTTGTTCTTTTCCCCAAAATAAACCCTTGAGAAACCCTTCAAAATAAAATGACTAAATATATAACGTTGTATTTTCTTGCTAAAGTAATTTCCACATTACTAATTGAAGTAAATATTTCAACAAATCAGAACAAAACCAATAAATTCTCATTTTCCTCATGAACCCCAAGCGGCTCTGCTGGCCTTTCAAAATAAAAGGTTTTGCCTCCTTATCGCCTGGTTTCTGATTCTTGATGACTTTAACACTAAATCTGATGCTTTTCTGTCCAACCGGGTATTATTGATCCGGCGGAGATCGAAGCAGCAGAGATTGGTTTTAAATCAGAAATCTGCTGGTCAGCTGTGAAGCGCAGAAGGTTTTGTTGTTTGTTTGTTTGTTTGTTTGTTTGTTTCTGACGCATCTTTAAATCCAGATTAACTCAGCAGGGAGAAATTTACAGGAATTAAAAAAAAACATCAAAACATTAAAGATCAGCAGAGAAGCTGCTCAGTCATGCATCATCATCATCAGCTGATTTTTCTTCTTGACCTTCAGGCTAGAATCGGAACCGCAGGTTTTCTGTTTTTGGTTCTGAATCAGCTGATCCGGGTTCGGCTGATGAAGGTTCGGGATGTAATCTGGACTCTGACATGGCGCGGCGCGGTGCGGGAGGGGGGGGGAGGAGACACAAAGGGATTAAATGTGCGGGAGGCCGCGCAGTGACGCAGCAGCGGCGGGCCTGCTGCACGCGGCTGCGGCACCGCGTGCGCGACGCCCCGGTCACCTTCAGCACCACCGGAACCAGAACCGGTTCCGAGCTTTAGAGCCGAACGTTCCCTGAAGGAATCAGAGGAACGGAATCGTCCCAAAGTGCGATAAATTCCCTGGATCTGAGCATGCGCTGTTGGCAGCTCCTTTGTTTGCGCAGATTAAAACGGGCGGAATTAAGGTGGTTCTGATGGTTCTGGTTCGGCCTGCAGGTGGATCCTGCAGAGCGGCGCGCGCATCCCGCTGCTGCGCAACACCTGAGCGCAGGACGGACCGCAAGGTCGGCCGGCTGACCCGCAGCGGCGCTTTGCGTCTCCGCAGCGGTAAACAAAGCGCATCAGCAGGTGCACAGCCCGCCGGGCTGCGTGGCTCCCCGCATCACCCTGCTGATGCGGGGAGCCAGGCCCCGCAGGATGAAGCTGCCCCTACCTGTGTTCAGTCTGAGGTGAGAAGCTCCGGATCTCCTGCTGCCGCTGCTGCTGCGGATTAAAGCGGCGCTCGCCTTTTATACGCGCCCTCCGCCTCCCATTGGCTCCTATTTACGGTCCATTCATTCCATTGGTCCGCGCGCTGCTGCGGACCACGTGACCAGCCTTAGTCCCGCCCCCTGTGTCTGGTCTGGAGTCAGATTCCTGCCGCAGTGCCTCTGAGCCGGTCAGGGAGGATGGAGATGATGGCTCAGATAAATCAGCTGCTGTGGGCCGGACTGATGTGTAAGCAAACTCTGCGGCTCCCAGAGAACCTGAGTAAACCCCAACAGGATAACAAATATGCAGTGGTGGCTACAATTCAGCTAATCCACTAATAGCTAACTAGCCTTTAGCACTTAGCACACTTAGCATCCCCTAAATTAGTTTGTCCAGATAGACTCTGAAGAGCTAATTTACTTGCCTGGTTTGTAAACATTCAGTTGAATAAAGTTTTGGACATCAGTTGTAAAGAATTTTGTAGATGTTTATATTCATGCTTTTATTTTGAAGCAGCAGTTTCATTTCCTGTCCTCACATTCGCTCTCTTTTTTTTCCTTCCAAAAACTTTACTGAGTAAACGGCGACAATACAAACAAATTAAATAGTCAGAATAATAAAACCTTTACATAAACAAACAACCTGGAGGGTCAATAAAACAAACAGGCAAAAATCACATGTAGAAACAGATGTGGTGGCTGTCAACATGACTGAATATGGCACTTTAGCATTAGCGTCTACTAAGCTCTATGTTGACATGGTGCTTTAGCGTTAGCTTCCACTAAATGCTATAGTGCTTTAGCGTTAGCGCTGCTCTGCTTTACTTGGTGGTGTTCACTTAAATGCACTATAAAAATGTTATTTAAATGTCAACATATTTTAAAACAAATAAATCAATTGGTTGGGAAAACATTTCACCAACATTGTAGAGATTTATAAACAGAGAAGAAGAAAAATCTTTGTTCTTTGAAATCCACCATGAAGAAGGAAAACTTTTATTTTTAAAAGTAAAGATGAGCGTTATTCAGCGCAATCCAGCGTTTCTGGTTTGTGATTATAAAACTAGAAGTTTGTTCTCCAAACATGTTAACATGCTAACATGTTAACCTCCTCAGAAACACGAAACACATTTACTGGTTATAAATACATTAGTTCTTTTAGGGCAGCTGCTATGAAATGATCCTATGCAAAAACTAAAGACATAAAATATTCATGTCAGGCTTTACTCTACATGAAATGCACAAACAGATTTAATAAAAAGCATCATTAAAGAGTTTTAATGTGTCACAAAATGGATTTATCGATTGAAGGCTCTGCAGCAGGATGACACACCGTCCTCAGAGGTGGACGGGATTTCTGTGGTGACTGAGCACTTTCTCCTGCAGCTCTGAATTATTCATCCGCAGTAGGATGCTGTGTGTGTGTGTGTGTGTGTGTGTGTGTGTGTGTGAGAGAGAGAGAGAGCGCGCGCGCTGAGGACATGGTGTATCCCACAGCAGTGTTCAATATCAGATTGTTAGCATCCAGAGCACTGAGTGAACCCTGCGAACCCGTTTGAGTCAGAATTCCTCCATGTTTGAATCTACTGGGAATAAAAGTATAAAAATGGAGAACTGGCATTCCTGCACATACAAAAGGAAATCTAGAGAGGCTGATAGTGAAAGGTTTTCAGTCTGAGGAAGCTAGCTGCAGCGCCTAGCTAATCCCTCTCATAAGGTCCAAACCCAAAACCAGCTTTCTGCAAGGAAAACGCGCTAATACTGAAATATAACATCTATATTCATCGTTGTGCAGTTGAAACTCTGATTTATCTTCATTTGAAGTTCAATCGTTTCTACAACTAAATCAGCTTCTTGACTTTATTCCAATAAGTATCAATGTTTTGAATGTTTGTTCCTCTGGTAAGGCGCAGAGCCACCGGTGGACCGGAGCGTTGTACGCCAGAATCTGTTTGGTGATTCTGTGATCTCTGTGAGAACGTTTTCTGTCTGCTGGACTTTAAGGTTTCCCTTCTGGATCTGCTGTTGGTTCCCTGCTGATGGTTCATCCTCTCATCTCCTTGCTTTTACCCGTTCTCCGGTCAGCCTGGACGCTTCCTGCTCAAGGCTGCAGATTATATAATCTGCCTGCTGCTGGATTAAAGCAGCCAGAACAGATTTTCTCGCAGCGCCGGCTGCTGTTTGACTCCTCCTGCTTGCTTTGCATTTTGAAGCAGAGAAACAGATTTAGACACATGAAGAGAAGCGGCAGGTCATCAAAACGCTGCTTCTGTACTGAACTTATTGAAGGTTTGACTGAATGTTGATACAAACCAGAAGATCTGAGAAAACTGTTCATTAAACGGGTCGCAGGATTGGCTGAAACAATCTGGAGTAATCCTGTTTAGAGCCGGTAATAAAGTCCAACGTTGGTCTCCATGACGACAAAAAACTTTTATTATGATGGATGGATGGATGTTTTTATTGTTTTCTTTCATTAATCTGGACCTCCAGAACCGACTGGACCTCCAGAACCAACTGGACCTCCAGCTCTGACCTTCAGGGTCTCTGACTGGTTTTCTTCGTCGTTTCTGCCCCTGATGATGTCACTGCTCCTCTTCCTCGGCCTGCCTTCTCGGCTCGTGTTCGCCTCATGATGTTTGGTCGTCAGCAGAAGAGAGAATCCTTTAAGCTCAACATTTCCCTTCAAACCGCCGCGGCTTTGGGAGGAAACTTGCTTCTGCTGCTTCCCAGGTTTAGAGCTTTGGACTTGGACTGTTCCCAGGTTTTCATCAAACCGCTTTCACATCAATTTACCGTTTACACCTGAGAGTCCTCCTGGTTCTGGGTATTTTTGTTGTTCTGAAGGAGATTGTGCCAGATCGACCCTGCAGACGGTGTGAACTTCAGCCTAGATTAGGCCCCGCCCACCTGGCCTCCTGATTTGCATATGAAATGAGGTCACAGATGAATGAAACAGTGAAGTCTTTGTTAGTGAGAGTAAATCTGCTTCGGGCCAAGTGGTTTCTGACTGGATCAGACCCGCAGGCATAACACACAAACTCTAAAGCTATTAATAATTTTTTGGTGCGTTTAATAAAATGACTGCTCTATGATTTCTGCACAATGATCCATGAAAAAGCAAAACTTTTATTTTGAAAAAACATGTGGAATATCTATTTGCAATAATTTATGAAAACATGAGGCTTTTATTTTAGAGTGCATGAGCTTTATTTTGAAGAGCAACAATTCTCTTTTTTTATATCAAAATAAAGTTGCAATAATACGAGCGTAAAGTTATAAGACAAAAAATACAAGAACGCAGTCTTATTACCAGAACAAAATCACAATATTACAAGAATAAAGTCAGTTGAGAATAAAGTCTTCTTCATTTCAGAACAAATTAGTTAAAATACAAAAATAAAAAATAAACTCATAAAACATAATTAAAGCAAGTGATTCTGAGCAACTTGTGAAGTTATAGTTTATTGGTTTAATAAAGTAAATATCAGTCACAGAGATTTAAATGACTTGAATCTATTCAGGAGAAAGAATCAGACACACTGAGCTTACATCTTAATAACTCTACCAGAGCTTTTTTCTTATGAAAATTACTTTTTCTCATAATTTTTTATGGGGCCCATAAACCATTGGTGCCCAGGGCCTCGTTTGAGCTGAGTTCGCCTCTGCTTGCTTTAGATGCGTTTCTTCCTCCGTTGAATCAGTTTCTCTCCATCCAGGCTCAACAAATCGATAATGTAGATTTTCTGACTTGACCTTCGGCAGGTGGATGGGCGTGGTCGCCATGACGCCCGGTCACAGCGTGGTCGCCATGACGCCCGGTCACAGTGGGGGGCAGGAGGTTTCTCAGAGCAGATGGAGGCAGATCAGCTTTAAGGAAAGTATCCGTCTAATCTCACCAAACCCACGTTCAGAAATCCGTCGGTATCCTCCTGCTTCCATCCAGCAGCCGCCGGCGCTGAGAGCTGAATACAAACCAGATCCTCGCCCCTCCCCCACCTGTCTCCGTCCTCCCGCCCCTCCCCCACGCTCCATCAGCATGCAGACGGCTGCAGACCCCCCTCCGCCTCTGATGTCATTTATTCATGATGGAGCTCACAGAGACGCTCTTTTCACGCCGTGGTCACCTGACCACGCCGCCACCGTGAGCTCACCCTACCGGCGGCAGCAGCCAATCACAGCCTCCGTCAGCCTCCGCCTGCTCTCATTGGCCGTGCATGTCAACAAACAGGTGAGACAGTGAACACAACGCTGAGGAGAACATGGCAGGGCCTTAAAGGGCCAGTCCGTCTTGTTTTCTCAGCCAGAGCGTTACAGGAAGAAACACAGAAACCAGTTTAAGCTGAATTTTATTATTATTGATAACATTCAGTGTCTGAACTGTTTCCATTATCCTTCAGTCAATCTAACTTAATTATTAGAGGCTTTAACAGATACAAAAACTCATTTTTCAAAATCAGAAATATCTGTTAAAAACCACTGAATTTATCATATAGGAGGGACATTTGCTAAATCTGTGGTACTTCTCAAGGACTGCAGAAAGTCTCCTGCACCGACGCGCTAGAACAAACAGGAAGTCGGCCATTTTGGATTAAACTTACATTTTAGTCACATTTTGGCTGTTTGTTTTTGCTCCTCCTAGAGATTTTTGATTGATCAGCTTGAAAAGTGGTGCTTTTGTTGATAAGACATCAGGGATGTAAAGTTATCAAAATTCAGATTTTTTTGTGCATGCTAAAGGGGCGTGGCCGAGCCTCAAACTTTGACTATGCACCAAAGGATTTTTGTTCAGATGTTGGTTGGCCTAAGTCCTTCCACAGCTCCTGCTTTCACTCATAGGTTGGTATTTAGTCGTACTCTGGGTTGTGTTGGTGGTGAATCTCTACATGTCGCCGTTTCGTACGTTTGGTTTTAAATCAAACATTCATGATCTGATTTAGTCCAAACTGCACAGGAAGGATCTTCGTTAACACAAAAACATCTCAGTAGGACGACATCTTTTAAACCTCATAACGGATCATCATTAGAAATGATTTCTTCAAAACACTGGAGGAAGTGTTTTTCTGTTCTTTGCAGCCAAACAGGAAGTGGCTGAAGGTTTGGTTTCCACCAGGACTTTGATATTCTTCACCTGTTTTTCTGCGGTATGTAAACTACTAGTTCAAGTTCTTTTGGGTCGGATACGGGCCCAGACTCCACTGACTGGTCTTGGTTAATATCGCTGAGGACGTGCCAGAAGGAAAGCTGTGGAGGCGTTTCCTGCGCTCGGCGCTGATGACGTCACGGCCTCATTCAGCCGGTGGGCCGCTCCAGTCGTGGTCCTGCATGCTGAGTAAAGTTTTTATGTGAGTGAACAAAGCCTGCTGGCAGCTTTTGAACAGCAGCTGTCAGCAGATGCAGCGTTCGCTGTCGCCTCGTCCATCTGAGCGTCGACCCTTAGAGCCTGGTTACTAGGCAACCGGTGGTCAGCGACCATGACCGCTTTGTTCAGCAACAAGGTGGAAGGAAGGAGGGAAACAGCCAAGACTCCTGATCACCATGAGGAAACCTTTTATTTCTGTTTAAAGAGACAAACCCAGGAAGTTTAATCTGCAGTTACATCACAGTTATTACAGCAGATCAACGCAACGCAGATAATCTCAGCAAGATGGCGCAAAATTACACAACCAGGCATGTGATGTTTTAAAATCATAAGTCATAATGTAGTTTAATCAGAGCTGACCCAACGTTTTATCTTGTTGCATTTTGCTAAATGTGTTTGTTTATGACGACCCAACGATTCGTTCGCTTAAACCCCAAAAACCTGAGCAGGAAGCGTGTTCAGTCCCTTCACATTACTACTGTTACTATCATTATTAATAATAATAATGCAGAGTAAACCTGCAGCTGAATGAGACTTTAACATTTTCAATGTAAAACATTAAATCACAAAGTTTTGCGATTTACAACATCCTTCCTGATGTTAACGATGCTTTTCCAGGCCTTGTGAAGTTGCTTGAAATGTGTATTTAAATCTATTTATTCATTAGTAATAATGTAGTTTAGTTTAACATAACTTGAACTACACATGCAGAACATTTCCATCCTGCAATGATCTAAAAAGAATAAACTCTTAAAACAGCCTCATGACTTCCTGCCATCAAAAAGCTCAGAGGGAAAAAAGTCCAGCCTGATGAACCTTCTGATCGTTGGCTGATCCATCGCTCAGCCTTGGGTCCCAACCAGGCAGGAGCTTCGTTTCGACCCTCAGCAGAACCTGATATTTATGGAAAGTCTCCCGGGCCGAACACATGGGGCCCATTTCGCCTGGTTCTGCTGTTCCAGCTTCACGCTGCATGCTAACGTAGCTTAGCCGTGAACCGGACAGCAAATGAGAAGTTCTGGGCTTTTTTCAGCCACTTCTGGAGAAGTGGGACGGATCCACCAGATGCCTGGACAACCAGTTATTCAAACTTATTTAAACTATTTATGCTCCTTTATGTAACTAAAACATATATTACTTTGCTCTGATCATGATCTGCTGTGTTTCAAATAAGGAAAGTTGCCCAAACTGGGAAAAGCGGAAAAGAAGGAAATAAAATGTAATTCAGTCAAATACGTTTTTCTTCAGATTTAACTGTAATTTTACATTTAAACTCATAAATACTCAGAGAAATGAGCCGATTGTGACATTTGGGTCGAATCGATTCATTTCTCCAGCCTGGAGAACCTCAGGTCTGTTTTCACTGAGGAGAAACACGAGGCTGCAGCAGCTGCCGTCATTAACACAGCTAATGAGATAATCCACACACACACACACACAGACACACACACACACACACACGGGAGCAGCAGATTACCGATCAGCCGATCAGAACACCTTCAGCTTCTCCCTCGTCTCCGTCCTTCAGCTACGCCTCCTGCTGCGCTCGGGCCGCACTTATGAGTCTCATCTCCATGACAACCAGCTGGAAGAGATGAGGTCATCGATGCATAACAATCACCGCTCTCACACCCTGACCTCTGACCTTAGTGTTTGGTGGTTCAAACTGGTTTCCAGACTTATTGATACCAGGACTAACACAACGTTGTGTTGGGAACTAACACAACAATTGATTACCAATACACACACACACACACACACACACACAGTTGTCGTTGCCCCGCTGCCTGCTGGAACAGGAAGCTGAGGCTCCAGTTCACACAGGTTCATAAAAACTAAAATAACAGACGTGAAAACTTTGCCTGGTCCGATGAGTCCAGGCAGTTTTAGAAAATGTTCAGCAAAGTGGGCGGAGCCAAGATACATGAAGGGGCGTGGCCAGGTGTGGGACGAGAGGAGAAAGTAAAGGTGAGGACCCGCAGCAAATTTAATGACATTTCTTATGACATATTTTCAAAAAAGTGACTAGAAACAAATCTAACAACTTTTTTTCAAAATTCAGT